ATTCGACATACTTTGTCTTAATCAGGATATTAATAAGGAACTAGCAGTTTATGAAGCTTTTGGAATAATCCACCAATTTTTTAAAATTAAACACTATCTAAAGATTTGCATCGAAGCGTTTTTTTTTGATAGTGATTTTAATCACTGTCAGATATCATTATACTTGATCCAACTATGCCACGTCACCACTGTGCCGCGACCCCCCTGTGCTGGGTTTTTTTTTATATATTTATACATTATAAATATATATATTTATTTATTCATATATTACACTTATAAAAGATAAAACTTGTAATCAGGATATAAATATAGAAATAGGATATCATGTAGCTTTTGGAATAATCCATCATTTTTTTTAAATTAAACTTTATCTACATATTTGCATCGAAACGTTTTTTATGATAGTGATTTTAATCACTGTCAGATATCATTATACTTTTTTTTATAACTAAATTAAGATAACTACTCCATTTTTTCAAATCTTTCAAAAATTAAAAAAAAAAGATATCATTAAACTATGCAGCGACCCCACAGTGATGGTTTTTTTGTTAAATATATATCAGATATTATATACAGGGTGTTCAGTAAGTCAGGAAACGGGTTTCTATTGTTCTCATTGTTTGTAACAATGAGAACAATAGATACCCGTTTCCTGACTTACTGAACACCCTGTATAAATAATTTAAAGAGTATTACACATTTACACTTACTTGAAACATTAGAATTAATAAAATGATTATGAAATGAATTTTTCCAATTCGGAATGCTACAATTTTTTATAATTAAATTAAGATAATTACTCCATTTTTTCAAATCTTTTATATGTATATCAACTTTTTGCATGATATTTTTTAATTGTTCTAGAATTTCATTGGAATTATATTCATTAATATTTTTATTTGTTAGATCAACATCAGATGTAAAGTAAATATTGTTTCTGATAAAAAATTTCGTAAGTGATTGAATTAATATATTAATACATTTTATGTCCACATTGGACAATTCTATTTTTATGGTATAATTGTTTAAGCTATAAATAAATTGATTAATAATATTTCGCAGAAATGTTATCCATTCCTCATTGAACAAGCTGAGAGATATGAATTCTTTTATATAACTTAATATTATTCGACCCGTTTCAATTAATATAGATTTTAAAGGACATGATGCACTATTTGAATTTTCTGAAGATGCAGCTTTAATTAAAGTTGAAAAATTTCGTATAAGAATAGCTATTGGTCGAAATGTAGCCACAATTACCATGTTTATGTATTCTAAAACATCTTTAGAATTAAAATCATATTTCACATACTCAAATATATCTTGTATAGTTAAACGAGTATCGTCAGAGCATTGAAAGTTCAGTGGAGTGAATCGAAGTAAATTTAATTCTATATGTTTACTATTATCTATTTTTATAATATTATTTTTGTTGCTGATAATTTGTTGGGTCATTATTTTGTAAAACAAAAAATTTTTCGGATGAAAATTTTCGTATGAATTTCTGTTTATTGATAAATAAAACTTCTTCAATATTTTATCTTTGAGATGATTATTTATATTTATTAGATTAGTAGTAGTATATTCATTTTCACCGATTGGCGGATTGCAACTAACCATATGATTAATAATTGGTGTATTTATACAATGCGTATTAATGAAAATATTTAGTTGATTTTTAACTGCAACGTGAATAATCTTATAGCCTTCTAATAATTTTGTAGCATCATTTTTTTCATCATTTTTGGTTAGAGAAATCATATTTAAAGAGTCAGAAATGTTATTTAAGTACATATTTATTGCGATCAACGTAAAAGGATATTTATATGATTTACTGTGCATCAAATCATCCAAAAATAACATAATTACTTTACTGTGTGTTTGTAGTGCCTTGCCATAATTCATAAGATTTTGGATTGTGATATTATCTTTATCTTTTTCGAATTGTAACAAAAATCTTTCATTATGGTTAAAAAAGTTTAGAAAATAACGATTATGGGAACACTGTAAAAAGTTTGCATAACTTAATCTTACTTTTATGGACATTATTAACACGAAAAGTAAAAAGAATTTCATTTTGCTTCTTATTTATGTTTATACGATTCCTTAAAAATTTCAAATTAAGAAAAATTGTGACTTTAATTGAAGAAAAAAGAATATTGAGTATAATTTATATGAATATTAATATACCATATTTGATCAATTTATCTTTAAAAATTTTATTTTTTATTTAAGTATTCGTACGTGTTCATCATATGCTTATTGACTTAATTGTTTAACTGACGTAATTTTTTTATTTATATACCAAAAGTAAAATTATAATATTGAAATCAGTAATTATATCTCAGTCAGTCAATAACCAACATTTTCGCAATCACACTTAAACATAATAGAAAGTGGGTATCATCAATAAATTATTATACTTCTAATATCATATTTATGTGATGATAATCACTGTTAAATGACATTTTAGATTGTCCCAACTATGCCACGTTCCAACCTTGTCGGGTTTCCTTTTGATATCATATTTAAAATTATTTCTGTATTGAAATATTATGGATTATCATTCCTAAAATATACAAACTACTCTATGTTTCTACTGAATAATTATTTTAACCTATTTGCGGGCAAAGAAAAAATTTGAATTTTGTGATGACGCCTTCATAGTGAAGAATAAGGAGGACAGTGTCAAAATTTGTTTGAAATGTAATATAAAAGTGGATTCATTAAGGTACCAAGACTTCGATTAATGTCTAACTGAAAAGTGTACAACATTTAATTACACTGTTAAGAACGCTGACTATCTGACTATAGGGTTAAAAAATTAATTTTTTTTTATACGACTGCAATGTATAATTAATCATATCAAAGAAAAATATAAAAAACCCTATCAAAATATTATTGAAATTAATTATAAAGAGATATTAAGTGGCTTAAAAATTACACTGTTTATTACAGGGATGGAAAATTTTACGCATTATTTTAATATTATAATTAGAACATTTAATGAAATATTTACGGAACATAATAATATGTTAATTTTAAGTGATAATACTAAAATAGGTTTGTTAAAATTCTTTTATGTTTAAAATACGTGTAAAATAAATATGTACGGAATTGCTGTTCAGTTAACGTTTATTAAATGTTGAATTTTTTTAAAAATATTTGATGTTTTTCTAATTCTTTTATTTAAAAATTTAATTTAAATACACGTTATTATTTTTATCTGTAAACAGCTAGTAATATTTTTTTGTACCCAAGTTTTGTTTATAGTTCAGTGAGATTTGAAGTACAATAATAACATAACGTACCGAACGCCGTATAAATATCCTTCGCTGTTATCGATCTATTTTAATACCGAAAATTTGCACGAGGAAATACCGTGTGTTTTGAATGCACAAACAGTGTACATACGTTGCAATTAAATGAAATGTAACAGTGCAATTTTTTTCCAGAAAAGCAACATAGTAGATAAGTTAAAATATGCACAGTCAATGCAGACACGTTTTATAATTCATTTTAGAAATATTTATTCCTTATTCCTAAACAACTAGTACACCTACTCAACACATCATTTATGTCTCTCTTGACAATCTACATCGTCGTCCTCTTTTTCACCGTCATTAAAAGCTCTTTTCCTTTTTCCCCCTTCAATTTCAATTTTTAAACAATTAAAATAATTTAAGTATGGAATAACAATTTAAACGATACAGTTTGTTGAATTGCTACATCTTATTTTTTGTATTACAAAAACCTTGCCATTCAAGCCATTTGATTGTACAGAAAATTATTTCTTTTGAATAATTTTTAAATATCCTAGTCTATTATTTTAATAAATAAAAACTTTAAATTTTAGGTACCCAAAAGCCAAAAAAATACAGCTGTTATATCTTCATAAATATAAATTTGAATTTAAAAAAAATTGAATAAATAAACTATGTTTTATCATCTTTATTTATATGTTTATTTAGTCTTCTTCTTTTTCCTCGCCTTAAACCCAATTACTTGAGGTCGACTACCCTTATCCTAAACTTCCACTTGCCATGATCTCCCAAATTCTCAACGCTCACATCAGCTGTCTTCATATCGCATTCAATAACATCCCTCTATCTCATCATCCTCTACTTCTAATTCCTTTAACAATAATTTCCATAACTGTTCTTACATTTTCCGATTCCTCTCTCTTCATTACATAACCAAACCATCTAAATATATTTTCTTTTATATTATTCAAGATTGACGCTACGCCTTTACTCTCTCTAATATGTTCGTTCCTCATCCTATCATTTTAATTTCTGTTACATTTATCCTCTGTTATATTCTCATGTCAACCATTTAAAGTTCTGAATCATACATCATAGTTGGTCTCAATATAATTTTTAGAAGTTACCTTTCAGCCTCATTGGAATTCTTATATCGCATAAGACACCAGACACTTCTCTCTACTTCAACCACCCGCACTTAATCCTGTGTTATACATCCTTGTTAATACCATCATTCTTTTGGACAACTGATCCTAAATACTTAAACTTTTCACGTTCTTCGCTATTTGTCACTGATTTACTCATTTCACTTATTAAGCATTTTACATTTAATAATAATAATTATAATAATAAATTATTTAAATAATTTTATTATATTTTAACTCATCAACCAAGAGCCTTATGATATAATCAATAATTATTTATACGTAATAATTTACTCGTGAACTACCATATTTAGCCCTTTCACAAAAGCCCTTTATTGCTACATTTTTGCATTAAAGAATAAGAAAACCTTTGGATATTTCCAATTTTTTTTTATTATAATTGAATCACGATGTGATTAAAAACTGTTTTATTTTAGCGATATAATTTTTCAAAGTATTTCAGAAAAAAAGATATAAGGCATGAATTAAAAAATACTAATAGATAATAAATAAAAAAAGATATCAAATTAAAAATGCTAAAAAAAAAATGTACTCAATACAATTATTTTAAGAGAAATATAGTGGCTTTATTAATTACTGATAAATTGAGAAATATTAAAAAACAATACCAAAATTCATATTCGTAACGTAATTATTATTAAAAAATCAATTTAGGACTTGCGTTAAAAGATTTAGTGTGTATAATAAAATGGATAAAATAAAAATTTTGTAAAAAAGTAATGTTAATATATAGTTATCACCATAAAAATAATTTCAATCATCTCACTTTACACGTTATATGGCAAATAATCGATCATATAAAGTGATTTATAAGTTGATTGATTTTTAAGTGTATTATTTGTACCGATATCATTTTCATCAGGGTCCTTTTTTAGATCCTCTAAATTAAAGTCTGTAATAATCTTCCAATAATGATAATAATTATCTTCCATATTAACGTCTTCATAAATAGCCTATATCAATTTTATTACTATCTTTCTTACTATATTTATATAGTATATTTCAGAATGTGCTTTAGTATTTACAAATACGATCTGAAATAAATAAAAAAAGATTTAAAAATGTGCACAAAAGTTTAGTTAACATGACAGCCAAGATTTAATAATGAAATATTTATAAGTATTTAAAATAGAAAATTTTAGAAAAATTATTTGATAAAAGTTTTATAAAGTATTTCACACAATATGCTTAGAAAAATTGATATTTTCAAGTGGCATATTTTTTTGTTTCAATAGTCTTACAGATGAATTTTTCTTCTGTTCTATATCACAAGACTAATTTTATTATAGAAACTCATGTATTTTTTGTTATTACATAATAGATATTGTAAATGAATAATGTAAAGAATTCAAATAGGAACTATATTTAGTCATTCCTAAAACCTTAAAATAAATAAAATTATTACTAGTTTATGCATTGTAAGACTCAATACCAAATTTGTGTAAAATAAAATTTAAATCGCCACTCCATTTTTTCAAATCTATCATATAGATACCAACTTTTAGCATGATTTGTTCTATTTCATTTTTAATATCATCAACATTATTTATATTAATATTTTCATTGGTTAAAACTATATCAGCAGTAAAGTATAATTTGTTTCTCATGAAAAGTTTCGTAAGTGATTTGATTTTTAAATTATTATATTTAATATCATGCTTGGATAAAGTACTTTTTCTAGTTTAGTATGCTTGATTAAGACTTGAGTAAATCCATTTAAGACTCTTCGTATAAATTTGCATTTATAAATAAATAGGCCGAGAAAAATGAATTATTTTNTTAATTTTGTCCAGAGTTTAGGTGAAACCTATACGAGGTCTGGCTATTAAATAACAAGACTGGTTACGAAAAAGAGTTTTATTATAAAAATTATTCTACATTCGAATGCTCCCCTTCAATATACTCCCCTCCTCTCCCCACACACCTTTTCATACGTATTTTCCATTGATCGAAGCAGTGCTGGAAGTCTTCTTTAGTGAGGGCCTTTAGGAGCTCCGCCGTTTTTTGTTTTGCCGATTCCATAGATTCAAATCGGGTCCCTTTCAAAGTAGATTTTATCTTTGGAAACAGAAAAAAATCGCACGGTGCCAAATCTGGCGAGTACGGCGCATGTTCGAGCACTGAAGTACGTTTATCGGCCAAATACCGCTTCACAGATAGCGCGTTATGGGCAGGTGCATTGTCCTGGTGCAAGATCCACGAGTTGTTCTTCTACAACTCGGGCTGTTTCTTACGAACCCGTTCTCGCAGTGTTCCTAAAACTGACAAATAGTAAGTCTGGTTGACAGTCTGACCCTTCGGAACCCATTCAGTCATCAAGATACCGTTAATGTCGAAAAAAACGATCAGCATTGCCTTAAATTTTGATTTGGACATCCTTGCTTTTTTGATTCTGGGCGATTGAGGCGTCTTGGGAGGCGCTGAGGTCGGCCCGCAAAGAGCTGAAGCTCGCCATCAGGCGGGCCAAAGCGAAGTGCTGGGCCGAACTCGTGAAGTCGGTGGACCACGACCCGTGGGGGAAACCCTACCGGGTCGTTATGCGGAAGCTCCGCGGTTCACCGGCTTCCGGTCAGCTGGAGGCGGAAGTGCTGGAAAGGGCGGTAGACACGCTCTTTCCGACACACCCGCCTCTGCCTCCCCCTGCGTTCGGGGACGACGTGTCGGTGGAGGAATTCACCACCCAGGAGGTGGCCGACGCGGTGGCGCGCGTACGGGGCCGG